TGGTAGAAATTACAGACAATGCAGTTACACTAATGAAGCAAAATTACCCAAAATTGCTTTTTCTTTAATTCTAATTTCAAAACTTTAAAATAAGATCGGGAATTAAAACAACAGATGCTGTCAATACAATTTGAAGTTTATTAGAACAGACCAAGAGGCCATTTTAGACAAACTTCTGGTTTTATTACCATTACTAATCTTTTACAGTCCTGCTATAACACCTTGCCACAGAAAGGCTCAAGTTCAACCCAATAATCTGACTGAAGTTCCTCTGGGATTGAAGCAGCCACAGTTCAGCTATGGCTGTAAACCAGTACAACCACTAGTTTTTTTTTGGTTTGTATAGCTTGCCGAGATTTGTGCCATGACACCAAGGACCAAAGAGGGGACAACCACATTGTGTTGTTTATCCTTATACTTCCACGCAGGGCCAAGTCATCCCATTTCTGCTCTGCTACCAAGTGCAGAAATTCTTATGGACAGTAACAGTGCATTTTGTAACTGAAAGCAACAAATGGGCCAGGCATGTCAAAGCACATAGCAGAAACAGGTGATGGCGTTGCCTCACCTCTGTAAGTTTGCTCCCCTGAAGATAAGTATTCTGCAGTTCCAGTTGAAAAAAAGCAGTTGGGTGTTGGAAGCATCTTGGGGCCCCCTCTGCATCCTGCACAGGGGCACATCTCTGCACCAAGGGTGACCAACCTCTAAGCTCAGAGTTTTGGGATTTTTTTCTCCCCCCTCATTCTTCTGAATCTCAACATTACAACCAAGGGTCACAGTGCCAGAGACCAGTCTCTGGATGAAAACGCAGGACAATTGTGGTGTTTCACAACATATTCAGATATTTAAGCCTCATCTCAGACTAACGAGACCTAAACCCACTTAAGCAATCTTACAAATGCAAGAGTGGTGCTGCTGACAAGTACTCACACAGCAGTACAGCAGCTATAAAGGTATGGAAAAAGACCTTGGCTTAGCAGACTAGTACATTACTTGGAGGTTTATATATACGAGAAGTTCCATTGCAGAGTTGAAAGACCACGTGCAGACTTCATTTCTCACCAATAGCACAGTAGCAGTGCTGGGAATAATGCCATAAACTTTAAGAAGGTTTAGACAATGAGGCAGTAAAAAAAGCTTTTTGGCTTATTATCCAGAGGTAAAGAGCCTTGTCTATGCTGGAGCTCCGGCTGGTGGTAGGAATGTCAGAAATTGGTCCTGTATATTAGTTATGAGTAGCAGGATTAGACTTTGGGGTCACATCATTGTTTTAGTCACAGTGGAGCAAATTACAGGTAGAGTTTCAGTGTCTGTTCTGGATTTCCTAGTGGGTGTATGCAAGTAACTCAACATTAATTAAGCCTCTTTCTCTTCATTTCTGCTTTGATATAGAACAGGTTTGCCTTGCTCTCCTTCTAGCATTATTACATTTCACCTCTGGGGAAAAAAATACTAAGAATTGGTTTCCATCATTGCAAACTTGCCTTCCAACAGGGAGTTTAAATGACTAGCTGACTCTAAGGAAGAGGAGGAACCATTTATCTCCATATTTTTAAATAAATCTCATTCTCCCCATCTCACCCCCTGCCATTGTAACTGCTCTAGAAATGTCTAAATGCTGAGGTGAGGTCATTTAACAGCAAGACTTTTTTTGGTTACCACTCTTGCCAAAGGATAAGAATGGGTTTGTGTTCCAGAGCAGAATCAGGTATCTGATTCATCCCAGGTGTTAGACATCTGCTGCTAGTTCTGCAACTGGCTTTAAGACACAAACAGCAGCAATGTTCACAAGAAACAGCTTAAGACAAACTCTTGGCACCAGGGGACCTAGAACAGAAGCAACTGACAACCTTTGGGGTTTCTGGAAAACAAGCATAACTCTGCCCCAGCACCACATCCTTTCTGTACCCTCACCCAAATCAAAACACTTCAAGCATTTGTAACAAAACTTGCTTTATTTCTCCATGCAGGACTAGAAGAGTGCTCAGGACGCAAGTAACTGCATATGCTACTCTAGCTGCTGAGTGGGAGCAGGGACATTTGTACAAATGCCATGTGCTCAAAGCCAGGACAGCAGCCCCAGAGGATGCATTGCTACTTCTCCTTCATGTTTGTTAACCCTGGGAAGCTGTTAGTTCAGGATCTTATTGTGGCCATGTAACTCTGTAGTAGAGGCATCCTAAGCACAGACTATCTCATGCCTTTTTCAGAGATGAGTAAGGGGCTCCCTCCTCCCTGCCATACAAGCTGTGCTCATGCAGCTCTGAAGGAGCACATGTGCAGGCACTACTGTGCTGCAGGATCCTCATCCCTTATGCAGCCACCTCCTGGATTGGGGAAAGCAATTAAATAGAAGAGGTTACCAACAACAAAGAGATGATCACAAAAAATTGCCAGGACAGTACATGCAAGAGACTAGAAGGTGGAATAGGATCCAAGTTAGCAGAAGAAAAAAGGAAAAAGAATTGTTTCAACACAACAGCACACTTTAAATAAGCAAATGAATTCTGAAAGTAAAACAGTACAGGGACTCATAACTCAGCCATATGGTGACAGCCTCCCCACAGCCGCTGCCTGGAATGCCTCTGACATGGCTCCTCAAGCAAAAATACCACAGACTGCCTCAAAAGAGATTATAACCCGCAAGCATAATCCACTCCCTACCTACCGCACTTCTTGCGGAAAGATGGGAACAATATATCCTCACCGGTAGCACATGGAGACATAAAGCCCAACCACTTGTTCACATTATAGTCATCAGCAAACCTCCTAGTGGGGATACGTTATTAGACCATCGGGAGAGCAGGGATATAAAGACCTGAAGGCCAAGTTACAGGAACAGTTATTTGAGACTGGCTCAGGATAATCACACTAGATGAAGCTCTTCCCTTTCAGAGACACATGTGTCTCTCCTCAGTAGTTTACTTACATCCATTATGAACCCAAATAATGAAACTCTACACGCAGTGTTGTGTTTCACAGTACAGAGGTGAAACAGAGCGAGGCCTGCTCTGGGGAGGCAGGCACTTCCTGAATGCGACTACTGATGATTTCCTGAATACCCACCACAAAAGCCACAGGAAGCTCCCTGAAGAGACAAACTTGTGCCTCATCCCCAGGAGCAAGGCCTGCTTAGACAATTTCAAATAAAAGATAGTCATTATTACTGTAATCTCCCACCACAAATCATTGTGTGAATGGCCCAGGTCAGAACAAGGACATTTATATACTCTGTTCTTTTCACCATTTTTAAATGCCACCAGGCAATAAGACAAGTAGGAAACCAACAATGCCTTGCAGTCCTTACTCTAGGTCTCACTTTCCTTTCCAGAAGCATCTGTTGCTTGCTTTTTTTCAATAAGCAACAGAATTAAGGCACATATCTTAACCTGAGCACCCAGGAAGATCTGGCATGTTGCATCTCTTCCTGTTACAAAGGCTGCTTCACCAGATCTCCTGCTTGTCTGAAATGACTTGGCTCCAAAAGCATTATCCCAAAGCATGTTCTTAGGCTGAGGAAGAGCTCTAAGAGCCAAGGTTGAGAGGTCTGGGTTAAACAGTATCAAGTCTGATCCAAGACCTCCTTCTTGAAGGAGTTACTAACACTACACAGAAGTTCTGAGAAGCCATTTGCTTTTAATTTATAAAAAAAGACCTGGAGTTGCATTCCAGGAAGATGAAGAATTGCTGGAGTTGCATGTTCTCAGGACCATTTGAAAAAAAGCTTGCCTTGATGTCTAAATACTTTAGGCTCATAATCCAGCTTACTTAATACCTGCCAACGGGTGGGAATTTTTCAGAGAAACAGTCTTACAAAGATGCAATCAAGCATTTTCTTCTACAGCATTGCAGGACACTGCTGCACACACTATTCCTCCATTAGAGAGGCTGCAACCCCATTTTCCAAAGGCTTCCATCTTCTGCGTTCAGCTTATTTCAATTATTCAGGGCAACCCAGGCTGATAATTACACAGTCCCGAGTTGCTGAGTAAAACTGATGCTTAATTAGCCAGCAGGAAAGATCGATTAAGATACAGCAGGGCATCTTGCTAAGTTCTTCAGTGGGACTGCAGGGAATAGAGTCTGGCTGTGCCCTTCCAAAGGATAAAATTCTCCATTTCTCAGGGATTTGACTGCAGTTTTATTTAAACTGGATGCTTAGATCAGTCAGCCACCCCAAGTTTTATTGTCAAGTCTTAACTTCAAGTGATACAACTCACATCCTATAAGTGGAGCAATAACAGTGAGCTTTAGATCATATTTCTAGCCAAAAATAGTACTGCAGAGGAAGTTGAAAGTTTTATTTAAACCTCCAGCAACTTGTTTGCTGTTTATGTTCCTTGATTTTCCCCTGGGATAGTAGAACATCCTTCATTTGCTTCACTTAAATCCAAATGATGCAACTCAGTCTCATTAGGACTTATCTGATCTTAGCTGTTCTGGGGACAGGAGACTTTGGAACCCAGCTCAGACCTGTCTCTCAGCTAAGGAGGTCATCTTCCTTCCTTTTTACTGATTCAAAGCCCAGGCAATGCACATTTAGGTTCAGGAGCCACTTGTGAAATAAATGCTTTCAGCAACATGCCAGCAGTATGAGTATTCACTCACTATCGATTCGTCCACAGGCCTAAATATCAAGTGACAGATTCTTTCCCCCGCCCCCAATCCCCCAAAATCCTCTCTAGCACAAGAGAGGAGAACAGTACAGGACTAGACCCAAATGGAAGGCACTGTACAGACACAGACCAAGGCATAATGAATACCTCAAACAAAAATTCTAAATACACAAATAATGACAGCTTTGCAGATAAACATATCTGATTAGTGTTAGTGGAAGGGTGTACAAACCACTGCAGTGCATTCTCACATTATACTAAGCCCTGAAAGCCCATTAATTATGGAAACATGGCCAAAATCTCCAGATAGTTGAAAAGAGCATGTGGGACCAAAAGGTGCAACACTCCTGAAGCATTATCATCAGAGTAACAGATGACACAAACCTGGCTTTGACTTGCTGGAAGCCAAAGAGAATTGCATCCCTCTGCTCCCTTGCTTTAGCACTCAAGTTTTCATTCTGCAGTCCATCCACTAGGTAACCTTCAGCATCTAGGAAGAAGAGTTACAAGCTAAGATTACCAGGCAGGTATCAGTTCTCAGCTGAGAAACAGACTTAGCTGCACACTGGGAATTTCTAGGAGTACAGTATCAAGCAGTCTGAGCTAGAGACAGAAGTCAGCCTGAAGACTTTGTTTGGAGAAGTTAGGCACTGAAGTGATTGCGGATAGAAGAGGATCCAAATATTGCTTCCAAGTACAGAGGTTCTGCCTCTAGCTGTAATAAGACCAATAAGGAACTACAAAGAAACCACCTAGCAGAAGTTGTTTGAAGGATGAAGACAGTGAAATGAAACATGGATAAAAATATCAAACAAAAAAGGCTGTTGCAGGATGTGAACCTAACAGGAAGCACTGGAAATACCAGTGGAAAGCAAAGCACATGAGAAAGATTGCAAGACTCAGTATTGTGCTGATTTCAGACCCATGCCTGCTGGCAGATCTAATACCTCTTCACAACAAGGACTATCTGAATCATCAGCACTTTCAGTGGAAACAGAAATAGTTCAAGAGCAAGGAAGTCTGGTGTGTATTTGAGAAAAACTGTCAGTGCCCTCCTCCACAAGATACTGGGATGGGCAGTGTTCAACAGGCCTATCCTCTGCTAGATACCCAGCAAGAGGGAAGCATTAGGTCAGGTGTCCTGCTTACACACCAGTCTGCCACACACATTCACTCCACACATTAGCCATCTCACCCATCTCTCAGCCCCCCCTTTGTGTGGGAGAAACTCTACAAATCTGCTCTGAAAGGCTTTTGGCATTAAACAGAGAAGCAGCTACGCAATTCCTAGGGGGGATCCAAAACACTTTGAAATGTCAGTGCAGGATATCCACCAACATTTCAAGGAAACAAAAAGCTGTCTGCATCCTATATGCAACAAGGATGATCTCTAAAAGGAGAGGCACCAAACAGGTTGGTTGAGCACAAGCCAACGTGTACTTGTACCACAGCACGTGTTCCCCTGCAAGGTTATTGCTGAAATGCTACATCCTGCATTCGCTCAGAGACTACTAGAGAAAGCCTGGGATTCTCATTCCTTTTCTGTAACCAAACTAGGGTTTTTGTTATTTTGCACAGAAGTATATCTGTATTAATCATATGTTCTTGCTTTAAATAGACAAGGTTATACTCACCTGGAAGCCACACCTGTATGCAGAAGTTTACCTTGCAGTTCATGTTAAAGGGATTAAGTGTCCATTTGCATAAATATTTATATTCTTGGCAAAAAAATCTCAAAAAAATCCACTTGAAAACAGAAACTTTGTCTCACCTGCTCCGTATGGGGGAGTATCACACCCTATACGCTTCAGTGGCATTACTGCCAGTTTCTCCTAGCAGAGGAAAGGCTGGCCTCAAAGTTACGGCATTGCACATCTACAGGCCTCTGACCTTTAACACATGTGCCATACTGTGACACTAACATCAGTTTAATATCCTGCTCACAAGGCTTCCCATTCCTTATGCTTCAGCTGCTGGTACAGCAACCAGCATTCCTTTTAGTGCACCCTGGGAGTCTACACAGCTCCTTAAAAATCCCTACTCTTCCACCTGCAAGTATATCTCAAGATCAAAATGCCACAAGAGGAATTAATATTTTTTTCTACCAAAGTCACAAGCTCTCATTTTTTACCACCTGCCTGTAACACACTCCAAGACAACTTGCAGTTATAAAAGCTCTCTAAAGCCAATAGAATAAGCAAGGACAGAGCAAGCAGCACACCAAGGCAACGAGGTAACAAGGCTGCGCTTGGGCACATCCCCAGAAATAGGGCCCTCTTCCCACCAGGCCTTCAGAGCAAGGGACAGGAATAGGGAGACCCAGCTCCAGCCACACAAGCCTGGAAAGGAGGAATGAATCCAGTTCGTAACACTCACATTTGTAACAGTCCTTTTCTCATTTCTGGATGGCCATGCTACAGCCACTGCTTCATAGCTCAGAAATAGAGGCTAAAGCCCGAATACAACATTGAGATATCAAAACCTTCCAGCCCATCTCCTGTGGGAACATACACTGCTTCCCACAGCTCAGCTAATGGGCAACAGCACACTAATTCACAGCGCTGCTCTCAAAGCCACACCTACATCCAGCAGTGATTCTGGGAGCTCCAGGAGCACAGAGATGTCGGGCTCAAATGCTTATTAATATCAAGTTCACTGCTGGTAATTTAGCCCTAAGTGGCTTGCCAAGGATCATACAGAAACCTTTGGCAAAGCAGCTGAGTGAAGCTTTCTAAATCCCAGGCCAATCTTGTAATCCTTAAGCTAAGTTTTGTTTTCAGTACATAGCTGTGCATTTCTTCAATTGTAAATCCAAAACACAGTACTTGCATCTGACAGGCCTAACAATACCAGGCTGAAACCACTTACAAATTACATTATCTATGCACTTGGGTATTTTCTAAACACAAAGGATGCATCCTGCTCTGAGGAGCTTTCAGAGCAGAGGGAGGCTAAGGGGACAATCTATTATATAAGCAAGCTTAAAAACAGCACACTAGAAACAGGTCAGCTAGAGGAACTATGCACAGGCTATATTTCCACAGTGAATGAAAACAAGGAAGGGAAAAAGCCTGCCACCCGCCCCCTCAACTCGTGTAAATATCAGTTGCATCCCTCTCATTCTTAAGTGTGGATTAGCTCCACGAGTACGTGATTAGCTCTAACACAGTATTTACTTACTGGGATGTCAGCACAGATCAGCTGCTGAATAAGTTGTAATAAAACTACCGTCACTTCTGCAAGCCAGGCAGAGCCCCCTTTCAGAGCCAGCCACTGTGTTTATAGCACCAGGAAATGAAAAAGAAAGCCTAACCATAAACTCTCAAAGTGGATCAGGAAGAGCAATATGTAAGCAGCTCTAGAGTAAATCACCCTAATGTTAGTTTTACTGCTTGTCTGTAACATTATATTCTTGATGTTTATAGATTGCTCTCTGTGATCCACTCTGAAAGCTTACAGGACTCTCCTTTTCATTTCCTGCAGCTAAAAAGGTAAGAGGAAAAAAATAGTTCAGATTATCAGGTGTTTCAGGAGAGTTTCTAAAGGCAATTGCAGTTATCCACTCCAATCCTGCGGGAGATGCACAGCATCATAAAAATTATGTCACAACTGCTGAAGTCCAGGCAGTAAATAACCCTTCAATGGCAGCACTACATTCTAGGAGTTAATCAGCACTCAATGAGCAGGGCTGAAGAGTATTGAAATACCATGTGTATTCTCTTCACGCACATCCACGTTCCTGCTCTTTTCTACTTCTCTGCCATCAGAAGGCCAACAAGAAATATCCTGCTCTCCTTACACAGAGGAACTAGTCCCACAGAATTGCAAGGTTTTAGTTATACAAGTTAATGCTAAGCCAGCCAGTCTCCTCCAACACTAACTTGATGCATCTCACACTCCCTCCTGCTGTTAGTCACCCAGCTGGCTGGGAAATATTAGAGGGAAGGTTAGGGCAGCTATCAGTGCACAACACTGGGCGGGCAGAGGGACGCATGGACAAAAAGGGTATTGGATACCTTGAGCTTCCATGCCATTATTTGAGGTCTCCAGGATGGGTCCCAAAACAGCTAGGGGTTTGGAATGCCAGTTATATCATCCCCCATCTCACTTGGGGAAAATAAAAGCTATGAGCTATCACACAGTTTCTTGACACTTCTGCAAGCTCATTTCAGAAGAATGATTTAATTGTGAACCAACATTTAAGATGAGCCCTCTTGCTTTTGTGGGAAAGGGTCAGAAAGCCCCAAGGCCTGTGGCTGGTTTCAGCCATCCTCCCGCAATGGACTGAAGAGGACATTCTCGCTCATGCAACAAGAGGCAAGAGCCAAGACCTCCTTCTTCAACTTTCAACTCTAAGTCTTAACTCTGACTTCTTTAGTATTTTACACTCTGGAGAGACTAGCCAAGCTATTCCAGGGTTGACTATAGCTTACCCACTTTTACAAAACAGAGCATTTTGTTGTTTTTAAAACAGCATTAAGGCTGCTTGTCTTGAAATTAGCAACTGCCAGCTTTGTTGTGCTTCACAGGTGCAACCAGTCTTCCAGTGCAGCACCTGCTCTGACCTCTCCACTGCCCAAGCTCCAGCAAGAAAACAACTTTCCAGACCCACCAGCTGGCTTGAAGGGGATCAGGCAGAGCAGGCTAAGGCAAAGCAATCACATTGCCAGACTGCTTTTGCTTCTGCAAAAGGATAACAGAAACCCTATTTTTATCAGGGTTTTTGTTTTTTGAGAAACATTGTTTCAGCCTTCAGAAGAAATCTGCGCTAAACACACACAAAACACCCTTAGCCAAAGTACTTTTAAAAGGAACCTGTTTGAACCAAAAGTGAAACCCTGTGCAATTAATTTACTACATAGCTTTAATGAGAAACTGGTTCACCTATTTGCAACATGAAGCTTAAAGTAATACAACGTGGCTTAGTCACATCTAAGACACATCAGCTACCTATTCATAAGCATTGCAGGATTGCTATATAGAGGCAATATGCAGAGTGCATTGGTTTTCAACTGCTGCAGCCTCAGAGATGTCACTAGTGATGACACAACTGTTACTAGGAAGCCCTTCACTTGCTGTTCCTGTGCCTCTTGTGTACAGTCCTGTAGTATGGGCCAAACTTTAATATGTGGAAACAAATGTTATTGCCTGTACATCAGTACAGGCTTACTCCCATTTGTGATTATTCTAAGTAAAAGAATTCCTATGATAATGTAGTTGGCAACCACAGAAATAGCTTAAGCCCCTTCATTTCTAGTCACCATAGCTAGAAAACTCCTTAGCCTCTGGAAGGCCTCAAGACTGTACAAATTGTTAAGACACAGCAAGTTTGATACAGAGATGTGACACACAATTAATCTCCATTCATAGCCTGCTATACTTGTCAGCAAACAAAGGCTGTGCTTTAGAAGGAGATCTGAAACCTTCAATTAAAAACAGTCAGTTAACAAGAAAATAATCTAAGTTAAAGGAAGGTGGCAGGTGCAAAAATGAGTTGTTTACAAAAGTGTCAGCACTGAAACAATAAAGTGCTGCACATCAAAAATGTGAAAGGGTGAACTTCACTGAAGCCCCCACGATTAAAAAACACAGGAGAAAATTTACACCTACATCTGGGGGAAGACACAAAGCATTTGGAAGTGAGCTTTGATGGGCTTGGAGGCTGCACTCTCTCTCAAACTGAGAGATTCCAGGACTGGAAGTTATCCCAAGGCTCAGCGTGAAAGGGGCTACTGCTCCAAGCTGTCAGAAGCCATCTCGACAGGAAATGAGAGGTCACCAAACCTCAAGGCTGGCTGGGCCAGGCTCAAACACAACCACTCTGAGTGGCAAGCAGCAACCTGCCAACAAATCTTTCCCCACCACCCACACCTGAGGTAGCAGGATGTGTCAGCAGCATGGGCTGCTCAGCAAAGGGCTAACACCACTGTGCTAGCCTGCAACACTGCTATCACATTTTATTTATGGTGAGGTTAGAGAGAATTAGCAGAGGAGGAAGTCATCACATGAACAGACTTGAGCGTGGAGAGGAAAACAGTACTGTAGAGTAAAACTACCAACTCTGCAAGCAACTTCCCTTTTTGTTTGTGTGAATTCTTCCCGCAAGGACACACCAAGTGATCATTCAGTCACAGCAGAAAGGGAACTCAGAGCTCCAACAGCTTTTAACTTGACTGTTTAAGAAACTAAATAAAACACAAGCCAGACTCCTAAAACAAAAACAGCCTTGAAGTCCCAGGTTCGTAGCATCCCCTGAAGGGCCGACAGTGAGAGTCAGGGATAACGTGCACTAGGCTGAACTCACAGGAGTAACTTATACCCTCTCTGGGACTAATACAGTCACCTGCACGTGGCAATTCTCTCACCAAGCCTTTGCCTGCTGTACCATACCATGGTGATGGGGACAGCAATAGCCACAAAGTCCTTGAAAGTGTGCTTCACAACATGAACTAATTCCATACAGAGGAGTCTGGCATTGTTTCTGCTTGGCTGACCCACCATCTTAACAAGAAGTGCAAGAATTCAAGTTTGCTAAGAAACCCAGGAAAATCAATTTCAAAAGCCTCACATATGCCATCTTAGACATACAGAAGTAAATGCTGTCAACTGTAAGTGTAGTTCAGTCACTGAGATGCTGAGACCTCAGCAGATCACATTATCAAGCAGAAGCTGGGCTCAAAACCAGCTCTACACCCCCATTTCACTGGCATTGAAGCTTCCCTGAGGATTTATCCCCATAGGGCCAGCTTGCTCACTGCATCCTCTAGCGTGGCACAACACATTTAACACAACATCTAAGGCCAAGAGACACCTCTGTCAGAGCCACAACAAAGTTTGCTTAGAGGGTTCACTATAGCACACAAGCTTCTTCCACCCTTTGTACCAGCTCCCCTGTCCCACTGCAAGGGCACTGACCAGTGGAGTCACTCAATGCCTTACCTGAGAGCCCCCAGTAGAGACAGCTTCTGACCATACACCTGCCCCCCCCCCCAAGGTCTCTCACACACTTTTCTCCCCTGACACACAGGCTTCGGGATCACCAGAGAGCTTCCCCATGCCAAATCACAGAACGTCACCACAGACCCACCTTACCCACCAGGGGCAACACAAGGACACTCTCAAGAGTGCCAGAACAGGCAGCTCTGCTCCCTACAGTTAGGGGTGCAGAAGACATACATAACCTGAGCACCCAGACACCACAGCTTCAGCCTCCATAGTTCCCCCCCTCCTACTCCCCTCTCTGGCTCAGCACAGCCACATCCAAATAGTCCTTGAGCCTCTTCCCCTGCAACTGTAGCTTTTCCCAGTTAGGCAGAGGGGGAGCAAGAAGGAAGCTGTGGTTACCTTCAAGGAGTCTCTGAATCTCCTCTGGGATCATGCTACTGCCCCCTTCCCCCCACAGGAGCCACCCCTGCCGCTCCTGCTCACGTCCCTGTCCCCAGGCAGGGCTGAGGGCAGGAGGAAGCGGGGAGGCGGGGATGCCCCGGGGAAGGTAGGAGGAACCGGGGCTCGGCTGCCTCCTCCGGCAGCGGCCCCAGCCCCCTTGCCGCGGCCTTGCAGGGAGGAACAAGGTGCCAAAGTGCCCAGGACGCACCAGGACCAACACCTCGGTATTCCCCCCGGGCCACTGGGCTCTAGCCAACAACCTGCAGACGTGCCTGATACCAGCCCCCAGAGCAACACAGCTGAAACAATGCTCCCTGCATTAGCATTTAAATCAGGTGGCACTTAGGCATGTTTCTCCTTCATTATCACATAATTCTGTACACCTGCTGGTAGAGGAGACCCATGAGCTCAGTGAGTATGTGTGGCCATATATTTAACTTCCAGTGCCTGTTCCTAGCACAAGATGAGCTGGGGGTTGGATCTGGTCCAGGCAAAGGCATGCTCCTTCCTCTAATGTGCAGGGGAAGAGAGCGGTACTTGGCTCATCTGCAATAAAACTTCCCCTCTTCCTGCATCCTGCTTAGGAAGGGAGCTAGATTGTAATGACCATTCATATTTCTACATCTTGCCCGGCAGAAGAGCAAGGTTGCACACTTTAACTTGCTTTATGATAGGCAATAAATGCAAACCGCACTCTACAAAACAAAAATGGCATTGCATTAGATTAACCCACAGTCTTACATCTGCTTCCCTCCTATATAAATGAATTAGCACAGGCTGACCAGGCTATGAGGATATCACAATTGTTTTCAGTCCTTGCATTCCCAAATTTTAGGCTCAATCCTGACAAATTCAAAGACAGTCTTCCTTATCTGAAGCTCACCAATGATTCCAAGGACTAACCTGAGATTCCCCAAGGATTAAGTGTACATGATCCAGTCCTTACTTTGCACAGTGTCCCACTATCCTTCAGTAGTATCAAAAAAGTATTTATGATTATAGTACATGGATAATGTTTTTCTGCCACTTTTACTTTTCTGACATTCTATGCATGACATATGATTTTTTAATTATATTTTCCTAACCTAGCAAATGTTGGAGATGACAAAAAAAGAAAGCAATCAGGCTGTGTTGACCACGGGCACAAAACCACACAGCTTCACTAAAATTCATGCTTGCTGTTTTCGCCAGGGGCAAAATACAAGCTCCTGATAGTGCAGAAGCAGGGCTGAAACTGGGATCTCACTGTATACCAAGGTGTATCATAGTGTCATGAGGTAGGGACACTCCGAACTGTCAGAGAAGGAAACTCCTTAAAACCGCTTCTCTTGATGCTTTCCTGACCTGCTGCTCTGGGCAAACCAGCCTGCCACAGTAGTTATCACAGGCTGGAAAAGCAAAATCTCTGGGGGAAGAGAAAAAAAAGAGTGCATTGGGCTCCCAGCCCCCAAAGACTGGGATACACAAACACTTCACTATGGTCTCACTGGCTTCAGTGGGACAATGCCATGTTTTGAGGCTGAGTGTATTTCTAAATAATTGCAGAATCAGATTCTTACAGCTCTCCAGGTGCATCACCTGGAAGGAATAAGGCTTAGCTATTGGGCAGCCATCAATGTAGGAAACCTGGAACAGGATCCAGCTTTGCTCCAAGCTTCTTGCTTGGTTCAGTCAAGACAATGTGTGCTTGAGGTCTACCCTGGAGATGTGATGTAAAAGCTTCACTGGGAAATGCACAGGTATGGGAGCTATGGAAGTTTATCAGATAGATGCTCCACCGTATGCTATAAGCTGGTAACATGATTTGTGACCTACTTTCTGAGACACATGGTTGCAAAAAAGGAAAAAGACTGTATTGTGCTTTTAGTTGATCAGTACAAATCAGATAAAGAACAGGTGTAAGATGAAGTGCAGTGCTTTGTTTTTTGGTTTGGGGCATGTGTGCCTGCAGTTCTAGTGTGTTGGCTCCACTGGAGACAGCAGAGTGAAAGGGGAAAACCCCAAAAGCAGCTGCAAAGTACTTTTATTACTTTTAAATTGAAACATGCACTTTTATGCATGGGAGCAGCACCATGGTAAATCACACTTGTCAAGAAGGGATGGTTTTAAAGGAGAAGTGAAGGTACCATGACCATAAGTGTGTTTAGTGTACACAATGGGAAAAGTGGTGTTGCACACTGCTTTCTGCACAGTGAGTCTCTCAGAGTAGTAAAGCTGAAGTGGCAGCTCCCATTTGGGGTTTAGTCACAAAGAGGAGAAGACATTTTGCTTTAGCTCACACTCAGGGAGACTTCATTGCTCTCTAGATCTGTGGAGAGCAGCCTACCACCACTTCCGATTTGTCACTTGGCTGCTTTCTGTACATGCATGTAATTTCACAATAACCTGGAGATAGACTTCAGGTCTGACATTACCGCCCTAGACCTTACAAGTTTCCTATTTTGAGTGTAAAGTTCACTCAGTGTCTGTCCTTCGCCCTTTGTCTTGTATCCTGCTGGGCAGGCTTACGCTCCCTGACAACAGAGCTGCAGCATATTCTTGATTTGAGGACTCCATGTACAAGAAATTGCTTCTCAGTGGCACTGGATGCAAGGGCCTTAGAGCACAGAAAATGTTGCTGCAGTTCAGAAGGCCTCACATGGAAGGTGGGCTTGCTTGAAAGCTATTGTCTTTCCCATTATGTGTAAGGTCAGGACTGAGAAAATTGACAGTCTCCTAGGGGGACAAAATTTGAATCTCTGTTAGCTGCATAAGGCCCCCAACACATTTGAGTGGTTCTGATTGTATGCAAGAAACGGTAGCATGTGTTCTCACCTGGAGGTGTTTAGGTGTAAATATTTAAATGTTTCTGTGTAAAATTCCTAGTCCGTTCATTACAGCCCGAAAATAAAAAGCAGCTGCTTTCTGAGACTAACTTTAAAAATGAGTTTATAAGGAAACGAACTAGGTCCCTTAAACTGAAGAAACTGCCTTCAGATATGCCAGAAAGATCAATGAAGCCTGATCAATGCAAATCTCAAAGGAAAAAATGTTCATGCAACTGCAAAGAAAAGGATCATCTCACATCTCTCTGCTTTTCTGTAGCAACTGCTTATGTAACGGTTTGAAAAAACAGTGCAAATAGTGAACTAGAAGATAGCTGGTCACTAAGTCTTGTTCAAGAACTAAACAATTTATCATATTTAAGGTCTAGAATAAATTTTTCCTCATGTCAAACTGCAGGGACTTGTTTTGTGGATCTTTTGGTTTGCCTTCCTTTGCAGCTTTGGGTGTAATCACTGCTTAAGAGCATACGAGGACTTCACCCAGCAAATTTCCTGCTCTTGCAGTACTTATGCCATTAGTACAGCTCTAGATCTTTTCTGCTGTACTTCTGGGATACATTGCAGTTGTGATTTTTGGTCTTTTGCTACAGCTCTTAAGGCCATCATGAGGTACTGAAAGTACAGGACCGTGTGGAGGCTGGTGCTGTTGCACCATAGGTGCTTTAGACATCTATCCCATGGCCCTGGGAGCTGGGAACAGGACTCAGCACCTAGAATATTTCCCTCAGGCCCTACATGAAGATTTTGTTAAGATAAGGCTGACTGTGTAGAAGGTATTGTTTTTATTAAATCCATTTTACTGAGAAACATTGAGGCACAGAGCCTCAGCTGCCACGGAGATGTAGATGCTATTACCTGAAACCCCAGCACAATGCAGTAGCCCAGCCAAGCCCTGGCAGATAGAGCCAGGCAGACTGATTCCCAGGCTAATGACCTGTTTTTCCCTGCTTTTTTTCTTGCCACTTTCATTTTTGAATGTGTGAATAGGTTACAAATTTAGTTTAGTGGTCATCTGGGAAGGAGATGGGGGAGGCTGGCAGGGACTGACAAGTTCCACTGTGTCATTGTTATATAGCATCAAGTTTTACGGGCTATGGATGTAAAGCTGCCTCCCTACATGATAAAAGCCCCACCTTAATCATTTTAGGTCCTAAGTTCAGCAGACAGGCTCTCTCCTAATGCTATTCTGTTAAATGGACAAATTCCTTTGAAGGCTTGTCTTGTTTTGAAATCCAATTTCACAGGAAGCCAGATGCGATTGGGTGTAGCTATGGAAACAAAGCAGGGCAGCCTTAGAAGAGCTGAGCGATGCAAGGTAAAATGTGAGAGTCAGAGTCCTTTACTGCTCTGTCGGAAATATCAAAGGATCTGGAGAGGTTGGCAGGAGATGTGTCCCTGTTACGGACTGTTCTGTGTGGCTGGGTACCAGCGCCTGTCAGCAGAGGTAAGCAGCCAGCTGTGCTGTCACACAGGCTGAATAGGTGCTGAATGCACAAAACCAGGGGGTGCAGGCTCTCGAGTTCTCGTCTGCTCCCTCCCAGCTCCTCCAGCGCATCAGCATCGCAGCCTTCCCCTCTGCCATTGGGAAAGGTTAACAACAAAAGGGTAACAAGGTTAAACCACAAAGCCCCAGCTGATAACAGCCCTTTCAAGCAGCTGCACTGAAATTAATCTGAAACTTCTAGTAATTAGATAAGATAAGGATGTGTGCATGCTCATGCGGGCACACGCTGACCCTGGGACACCCATTCCACAGAGGAGGTGGAGGATCATAGGATTTGTTAAACTGGATCAGATTATTTGTTCATCTAGTCTGGTGCTGCAGCACTGAAAGTACCTTTCCAGACCCTTTAATTCATCTTGTTTGATATCCTTGCATAGTACACTGACTTGCCCTTTTGTCCTCCCTTCCTGGTACCGTAGCTCCTGCCGGTTCAGAGCAGACTCTAATTCTTGCTTTTCCAGAACAGATGCCAGTTCATCCATTTCTGCATCACAGCTCCTGCCATTCCAGGTCAAATTGTTGGGCCACTGGGTGTGATTTGCTGCCTCTGACAGTGACCAACAATTCAGAAAAAGGCAATTCTCCAATCTGGTAATGCACCTGACTGCTTGAATAATGTCTCTTGGTTTGCTGATCAGCTATGCCATGCTAATGCTCTGCTATAATCCCAGA